TACACAGCAAGCCACCGCCATCGCCATCCCCTCTATCTCCATCAATACCACACCACAACCATCATCCCCATCAAAAAATCCACAAAACCCATCGCTACCACCGCACCACTACCTCAAAAACACCAAAAAACATGCTGCAAAATCACTGCAAAACCACTAATTTGTGTGTACAAGTAAAAACCACATTCTATGACTAGGCAAAATCAAAATTGTGGAAAAAACAACTAGAATGAATGTTGCGATCTGTGACCCTGAGAAGCCACTTGATTGAACGCCTGTAGAGGCACAACATCGTGTGAAGAGACAGTGTGGTGTTGCTCAGAGCTGCGCATCCATGAGCAGAGGCGTCGCAGCTACACGAAGTGGTGGCTTCGCCTCCGATGCCGTGCCTCAAATTCGGAGGTGCCATGTCTCTGATGTCACCCCTCAACTCCTCTAATGCCGCGCCTTAATGTTGGAGAATAGATAATGAAGAAATAAGGGTTGTTGAAAATGAATTAGGGTTTAGGGTAGATGAGGTGGGGTTTGTTGTGGGGTAGGATTGGTTGTGTAGATTAATTTAAATTGGGTGGGGGTGGGTTTGTAGATTATTAATTTTATAATATTATTATTATTAATATTTAAAAATTATATTATCATCTGGTTTTTGTATTAAAAAAACTTTAAATCTGAATTTCGAAGATGAAACTTAAAAAATCTAGTAGGGTGTAGTTTCCACTTTTTTATTTAATAAAAGGATTGGTTAATGTGACATCCTCTAAAAACTCTTACGAAAGAGGTAGTTCTTTTAGAAATTAAATTTCAAACATCAATTTAAATTACTTCATCAAGAAACTCTACTACAAGATGTAGAAGCATTACCAAATGGACTTAGTTTTAGCTGATAAAGCAATCCACATCTCCATATGTTATCTAGTCTATGGATTGACACCTTTCCTACCCTCACCTTTCGGCAAATATTTTTGCATTCCTTAAAGTAGAAACTCGAGTTGTGAATCACCTAATATGAGGAGCGGAATGAGTCTTTAAAGATATGTCCATTCCTTTAACACCAACAATTTTAGAAAATTATAGCAAAAAGTTCCATCTCACATCAAGGAAATTTCTTCCAAGCAAAAAGAATAGTTTTGCCAACATTAGACGGATGAGAAATTTTACGTGAAACAAATTTGATCCCATATATATTTTGATGCTCAACACAGGAATAGGGCTTGTATCAAAGCCTCTTGTTCGTGCGAAACCCCCAAGCATACGTGATCGTAACAAATAATAGATTTAGTGAGTTGAAAGTATCGTCCTACAGGAAATAAATACAATTCAAGTTGATTAGTTTCGTATGGAATTCAAATTATGTAACACAAAGAGTTTTTAATTTGATTTATCCTAAATTAATCTAAGAAAACTATAAAAATTTGGTTTTTATCAAATTATGGATGATTGTATTTGATTTCGAATATGTCTATTGCTACCTATTTCAATTTTTGATTTGTAATCTAGTTTAATTCATGAGTTCTTGACAATCGATAAAGTTATGATATATAATTTTTTATTTCAAAACAAATTAAATATATCCTAATCATGACCCGAATTCGAATGAATAGAATGCATTAAAGTTTAAATAATCTAAATGATTGCGCACGTAATAAATGTTATTTATAACATCTATTATTAATTTTATCTCGTTCTAAGCTTATTGTGAGTCTCTCAACATTACAACAAGTAACTAATTATCTAATTAGTGGCCAAACAATTAAATAATGTAATGGACATGCAAAATTAATCGAGAAACGCAAGAAATACTAAACTATTAGTTCTGAATTAAAAATAAATAACAAATAGGATTCAATACAAAAACGGATCTAACCTAACATTCTAATATATAAATTACAAAAAGAATAATAGAAAAATCACCCGAATCATGAAATAATTCAAAAGATTGATATTCAATATAGGGTTTGACCTCCTGTCTCAAAATAAAGTAATTGGCTAATTGTTTTTGATGTATTTGATGATATTATTGTATATGAAGAGTCAAGAAAGGGTTTTCAATATCTTACCCAAGTTTGGTATTTATCAGTGTTCTAAAATGCATAATGCGTTGCGATGCGTCGA